GCTCTGAGTTGTCAGTACAGAGCCTGACACGGGGCTCCAACTCACAAACTGTGAGATCATGACCTGAGCTGAAGTCAGGTGACCAACTGACTGAACTCCCCAGGCGCCCCGACTTTTCCTGACCATCCTAGCATGAAGAATGTTAGTTGGACTCTCTTAACACCATGACTTTGTCTTCACTCATCCACTTGTCACTGTCTGAAATTATAAATCTTGCTGATTTAATTATCTGTCTCCTAATGGAGATCATGTAATCCCTACTGGGCTTAGAGAGGGTAGGGCTCTTGCTGTGTGAAGCCCCAGCTTCACACATAGTTTCACATACATGGTTGTGAATGAATGAATGAATTCTACCTGAACCCTCCATGGCCCATTGACAGTGGGGAACTTTGCGAAAGCCCACCCAGTAAATAAGCAGAAGCCAGAAGTCCCTTCTTTAGGGAATAAAATAATTAGAGTAGCCTAAAATTTAGCACTTAAAGAGGGAAAAGAGAGAATGTCTTTTCAATGCTTATTGAAGTGAGTCCTAGGAAATTAATATTTTTAAAATAAGGGGATTCTTTTGCCTTATAGTTTTTTTTTGAGCTACATTGGATTTTGCAAGTAGAAGGTAGTTTCCAAATCATTTCGTTTTTCCCCCTTTGGCATAGGATCTTTGGATTATAGCACATTTATTCCTCTAGAATTCAATTCAGTATTCATAAACACAAGTTCTTTTAAAAAAAAGATGTTTGATAGAAGGATTCATTTGATCTCACCTTCTCTTCTAGCCTGAAGTTGACTGATTTATTGCTTACTGCTTTGGAAAATCCAGTAAAATATATTGAGGACAATGTGGAACAAAAGGTAAATCTTCCAGCACAGATATAGTATAAACGGTAAGGTACAACTTTTTGAAAGAAGGTCTTTTTGAGTCGAATGTAAAAATATGAGTAAAATGTGGAAAATGCCTTTGTCGCCGCCTGGGCATCTCAGCGGCACTTGGCTTCTGCCAGCTGGCCACAGTGGCGCCCTGCTGGCTGCGTGCAGCAGCTGGTCAAAGCCGATGGTCACATTTTCAGAAATGTTAGAGCCGGTAACAGACGTTGGTGTTAGTAGCTTGAGATGACAAGGACAGGAGCACTTGCACCGCAAGTAGTGACAAGCGCTGCAGACAGAGTCCGCTATTAGGCAGATTGCCAGCACCTGTCATCTAGATGGACTTATCTCGTAGGGAGGGACAACTGGAACATAAAAGCCACCGTAACTTTCCTTTTAGTCTCATCAGATACATATCACACTTTAGCCACCTCTTTTATAAAACTTCCAACCTTCCAGTAACAGTGTCTGTATCGCACAGGAAACAGACAGAATGATTTGTTCAACCAACGTTCTTCATCAAGCTGATCAGACGCTCCGAAGGATTGTCTCTCAGACGATGAGGGAAGCAAAAGGTATGTTGGGCAGGTGCGTGGGGTTTAGTTGACACGACTGTGCTGCTGTTCTTGTTCCCTTGGGTAGTCGATTAGCTTTCTGTCACGTTTACGTCATGTTTTTCGTTTCACTATGCAACTGGATTCTACAAAACTAAAAATTCTACCCCAGAGCAGGGTATATTCATCCATTCAAAACATTTTTATTGAGCGGCTCCTCTGGACCTGGTTTTATTCTAGATACTGGCATGTCACAGGGAGCAGAATATTACTCTGAGGAGAGAGACAGATAAATGCATGAGTCTCTGCTGGTGCCCTGAAGAAAACTAAAATGGAGTGAGGCAGCGTAGAGTGACGGGAGAGCAGCTTTTAAAGGGTAATCAGGAAGGCTTCTCAGAGGTGATAGTTAGGCAGAGATATGAATAACAGAAAGAGGCAGCATGCAGGTATCTGGAGGTAGATCATTCCAGGCAGTGGACACAGGTGCTAAAGCCCTAAGGTGAAGTTGTTTGGTAGGTCCTAGGGCAGAAAAGAGGCCATTGAATCAGCTGAAATAAGGAATGGGGAGAGGTGGTCAGGGGCCGCATGTCCAGTCAGCAAGCTCAGTGTATTGTCCATCTGAACTTAGATGCCATGCGTGGCAGTTTTATAAAATAACTCCTTGAGGGGCGCCGGGGTGGCTCAGTTGGCTAAGCATCTGACTCTATATTTCGGCTCAGGTCATGATCTCATCATTCATGGGATGGAAACCCCCCCTTAGGCTCTGCGATGACAGTGCAAAGCCTGCTTGGGATTCTCTTTCCCTCTCTCTCTCTGCCTCTCCTCCTCGTTCTCTCTCTCTCTCAAAATAAATGAACATTTAAAAAAAATAACTCCTTTAGGTTTTAAATATTGAACTCTACACTGTTTAAAATTTGACTTAAAAACTAGTAGCAGCCTAACATTTCTTGAGCTTTTACATGCCAAGTGCCTAATGCATACTGTTTCCAGTCTTTACAGCCTCATGAGGTAGGTGTAATTTTACAAATGGGGAAGTGAAGGTTCTAAGAGGATCAAATAACTTGCCCAAGGCTGAACAGCTCCTAGATACTTGGATAACCTGGGTTCAGAGTCAAGTCTGACTCTAGTCTGTGCTTTGTTATGTTCCCTGTATCCTCAGCATCTATTATTAATACCTTTACAACAGCTTAGAACATTGGAAAAAGAAACAATACACTAACCATATGGTGTGTTTCTTACTTTTTTTAACCACAATTTATAAGCAGATTTTATCTTGTGCCTGAGTGTGTAACCCAGTACACACACACACGTGCACAGCAACAAGTTTCACAAAACCATCACCTTCTATTTGATTCCATTTTAGATAAACATGGCTTGCAGCCTGCATCTCACTTGTAGGTTATAATCCAGAGTTCGAAAAGCACAGGCCTGGAACAGAAACAGCAATATAATTAGAACAGAAACAAAAATAGTTGCAGGAGCTCTCATTCAATCATTTGCCTTCCTTGTCTTCTGTATAAAATGAAAAGGAGAGAGGGAAATAGGTTCACGCTTGAATCACTCGTGACTCATTTCCCACCCGTTAAAAAAAACCTTTTTTTTTGGTGAGGGAGGTGGTAGTAGCTTCTAGATCTATGCTTAAATGAAATTAGAAATTCATTTCTCCTACCATCAAGAAAGTGAAAAGACAACCCACAGATCAGGAGAAAATACTTGCAAATCATATATCTCATAAGAAACTTGCATCCAAAATAGATAAAGGACTCTTCCCGCTCAGTAGTAAAGATAACCCAATTTTAAAAGTGGGCAAAGGATCTGAATAGGATTGTGAAGGATTGTGAATCCTTCCCTAGGGAGGATACACAACAGGCCAGTAACCGCAAGAAAACATACTTGACATCATTAGTCATCTGGAAAATGCAAACCAAAACCATGAGAGGCCACTGAACCCACTCGCTATGCCAGCCAAAATCAAAGAGTCCAAGAGGCGGTGAGCATGTAGGGCAGTCCGGACCCCGTCTGCTGCTTTGGCAGACAACCGAGCGGTTCCTGCAGCGAGTAAACGTAGTTACCGCAGGACCCAGCAATTCCACTGCCAGGGAAAGAGCAGTGAAAACCCTTGTTCATATAAAAATGTGTACACAAATGTTCGTGTCCGCATTACTCAGAGAAGCCAGGATGACCCTTGAAAATGTTGTATGAAGTGAAAGAAGCCATCACCGAAGGCCACACATTGCTTGAGTCCAACCACATGACAGGTCCAGAAGGGAGAAATCTGGAGGCACAGAGCCCAACGCGGGGCTCGTTCTCCTGAACCTCGAGATCATGAACTGAAGTGCGATCAAGAGTCAGACACTTAACCAACTGAGTCGCCCAGGTGCCCCGAGTTGTAGTCTAAATGAATAAAGGGTATGGTATGCAAATTTACTTCAGTAAAGCTGTTTATTAATAAAAACCTAGTTCCTCAGTGACATTACTCACGTGGCTAGTGGCTGCTGTATTGAAGAGGGCAGATCCAGAACACTTCCATCCTGGTAGGAAGTTATACGTTGGAGATACTCTAGAGATTATGTACTACAGTTTCAACCACACTATCATTTCCTATTCCTGCCTTTTTGCCTTCCTACCAGTTAGTTCAAGAACATTCTAAACCAACTATCTTGTCAACAACAAAAAAATCTCCTTCAGACTTAACTTTTCTCCTTATGCATGGCATAGCAAGTTATTTAAAAGATTTTTTTCGTTATCATGTCAATGTGACCTTTTGCCGACATAGTACACCAACTCAACTGTGACTAACAAAGTAAGCTGATCAGTTTGTCAGAAGTATTCAAATTAATTTCCTGATGTTGTTAGACAGCCTGGCCTGATTTAGTTTACACAAATAAGCGTCTTTTCATTTTAGATGAACGAGTGCTTCCTTCCAACATGAAGTTTCTAGCAGAAGAACTCAACAAGCTCAAAGCAGAGTTTTTGGAAGACCTAAGACAAGGAAACAAAAAGTACCTGTGCTTTCCACAAACCATAGACGTATCAGACGTTATTTCTTTTTTCTGTTATGAGAAAGATAACATTGTCCAGAAATATTTTTCAAAGCATTAAAACTTCGGAGCTCCCAAATATCCAGGTTTGGTTGAGTTTGCAAAATAAAACAATTTTGTAATACTGGATGTTTTCTAGGCCAGTGATGGGAGTCACAAAACAAAAAGTCCCTTCTAAAGATCCATTTGTCAGAATAGAAATTACTTCAGTCGGTGACTTGTCAGATTTGACATGGATAATTGAGCATCAGAGGGAGGCTTCCCCATTTACGTACCAGAACCCTTAGGGTAGGGCTGGTGGGGCCGGGAGTCTTTGTTTAATGCACCCTCAATAAAGCAGAGAAGGAGGAAGACAAGGTGTGGATGCATGGAGCTGGTTTTGGTTTTAACTCATATGGCAGATCTTCTCATGGGTCAGGCATCGACAAATTCAAACCAGTGTAGACGTAAAACTTTTTTTTTTTTTTTAATTAAGTTTACATACTGGAAAATTACTAAGAACACTAATTGGATCCTAGTTTTCAAAGAAGAAAAATCGAGATCAATAAAAAGTGTTATTTTTTTATTCATGTATTACAAAAGCAAAGCTTCATTCACAATAAGAACTACAGACTAGATCTGGTTATTTTAGCATCCAACTGCTTTCTGGAATCCCTAAACAATATAGTGTTTTGCAACCATACTCAAGTTTTATGTTTTGCATATAAAATATGTTCTTTACATCAAAGTACATATTAACAAAAACAAGTTGTAGAAATCATATACCCTCTAATAAGATTATTTAATGAAAAAGTCCTTAGCTGGGAATTTCTTTAAAAATAATACATCCACTTGATAAATATTTTTGTAGAACTTAAAATGAAGTTTATCTCAACATTTTTTAAGTAATATCCCCTTTGTCAAACAATTCTGCAGATAAATGGCAAACACTTATTTCTAAAATGAAATAGCATTGGAAAATATTCAAAGTAAAAGTCTAGCCTTTACTTGAATTTCAAGAAGTTGTAGCTACATACTCAATTAATAAAATCTGAAATGAAATTATTCCGTTAATCTCTTCACAGTTTATTAAAAAAATATTAGTGGAGATAAATTATCTACGAACTTTAAAAATCTAAACTTATGTTCACTGAACAAAAATAAATTTAGTTTCAGAACATTGCCTTTCACAGCAAAGTACTATAAATAGTTCATGTTCAACTTTTCCTAGCAGCTCATTACTATAAAATATTTGATTAAAAATAAAATGGGAGAAACATGTTCAACACTTAATGGAAGACAGTATCATCTTCCCATGTATAAAATTTAACTCACAGAAAATTTAAATAAAATCTTTTTTAAAAATACAATACTAAAAAAGTTTTTAAGGTAGATTTGATTCAAAAACTTTAGTGCATTTAGAATTAATTGTAGCTCTCAAGCACTGATGGCTTTGGAACACGGCCTGTGCTCTTTTAAGTCCTAGGAAAATTAGGATTCTAATTCTAGTTTGTAATTATGAAACAAAGGTATTTTCTGTTTAAAAGGTACCTTCAAAACATCTATCTTTAGTTGTGAGAATAAAAAAAAGTGTTTGTCACTATTTGGCCCAGAATATAGTGTTAATAAACTGGTTTTAATGAGAGAATCCTTCCTCTTTCTTTAATGAAATCTCTCATTTTCTATCTTAGAGTATTGCTTTCGTTTGAAGAATACAAAGGATGAAGAGAACAATTGTAAAAGCTTCCAAATGACGGCAACCTGCTTCTCCTGGCAATACAGCAATACTAGAGCCAAGTTAGATTTGGAAATGGTTGCATTAAAGCGGATCTGAGCAGTGAGTGAGTGAGGCAAGAAGAGAAACACAATTGTAGATTCATAAGCCTCAGATTTCACAAGGAAGAGAGCTATTGATGGTTTGGACAGACTCCTTGCTGCGCTCTGAACAATGCCGCTGAGATTAGATTCGACTGGATATGAAACCACAAGAACTCATTTTACTGGCTTCCTTGCATTTGGAAGGGAGGGCAGAAGGTCCATTAACTTGGCACTTGGGGGCTCTGTGGACACACACTGTCATTTCCCTTTTAGTCACTATAGAAGAGTTGAGGTCTTTTTTGTTTAATAAATGCTTAAGAGTTAGGATATTCTCTTTACGAAGCCAATTAGTAACACTTTTTAAAGATCTGAACCAAATTAAAAATAAAACTTTTGCAAAGTACACAGAAACCAGCAGTTAGTAACAATATATTTTATTGTTTGACCAAGCTCTCTTCAGAGTAAGCTAGTTATTACACAATAAAAAACAATAGCCTCCTATTCAAAATTATTCTAGATTTAGCAAGTCTTATTTTTGTAAACAAATTAAATATCACATTTCACTGCATCTTGTATCTATTTTCCTACTTTTGTACCCTTTCCTACTAAGGCGGCGATTCAGTCTCCGTATAGTTTTGTCACTGTACACGAAAAACTGGCAGACCTGCAAAGAAGCGTTACAACTTGAATTCACAGAAAATATTTCAAATGGCCAATTCTGAAGGAAAAACCAGAATTTGTTCTGGACACACATTCTCATTTTTTTAAGTATTACTTCACCATCACATTTTCCTATATGTTATTATACCCACCTCTTCTCAGAAATTATGGACAATGAATTGACAGAAGGCAGGAAATGGAATTTCAGAGATTTTTCAGTTTTTTGTTTTATAAAGGACTGTATTTCCGAAGAGTAAGATGGATGAATTACACTGTACCTCTTTGGTCATCAAAGGAATAGAAGGAATAACAGTCTCAGCGTACTTATCAACCTCACCTGATAGTAATGAGGTCAGAATGAAGAATTTAAATGAAAAGTTCAAATTAAAAGAAACAAAAAGGCATCTTTATAGATAATCCTCTGATATTTCTAGCACTCTCCTGTATTTACCTGTGGTTTTTACAATAAACCAGAATAAAAAGATAGGTGTTTAAACTAGAAATTGAATAAACAGGTATTTTAAATAGTAAACCCATTCATTTCTTTTCAGAGCTTTTACCTCATATTTTTATAACTTTAAAAAGAATGAACTATTACATTTTCCCTTATGGGAAAAAAAAATCTACAGAAAATAGTTCTGTGATTATTAGTTGAAACGAAAGCACTGATTCAACTTAAGCAATGTGAACTAAACAAGCATATCAGTTAAGGGTGCTGTTAAAAGGCAATTCTTCTACCTAACACTGAAATAAGCTGTTAATAGAATTCATAAGAGGCAGTAATTCTACCATTTTGAAATATGGCAGAAATAATATCAAGCTGCAATGTGTATGTTGACATACCAAGAGTAGCAATAAGCTTTGAAGATTTTATGGACCATAAATATGGGAAATTTAAATGAATACCTGTTAGGATTATGATTGCACTCCAATTCTCAAATGTCTAAATGAAACAAAAAAAGAGACCTCAATGTGTCTAACTGTTCCAATACATAAATGACCCTGACCAGATTTTTATGGAAAACAAAAAAGGAGAAAACTTTGTTTCCACTGTCAAACTTACATTCTATAAATATATAGATAGATAGACTTTAAATTAGCAGACATCTTATTAGGAATGAGCCCCTCCCCCGGAAAAAAAAAAAACAATAAACAAAACTAAAACATAAAAAGGTAAAACCAGGTAAAGCATAATGTGATTATTTTCAATCAGTGTTGGTTATGTTGTCCCCTTGCAAAATGACAGGCAAAATCATACTTGTTTTTACACTTGCAGCCACATATGTTACACTGGAAAGGATTTTCATACCCGTGACATCCCATATGAATAGTGTAAAGGATGTTGTCGGCAAAGTACATGTCACAGTGCTGGCAGTGGTGCAGGAGCTGGGGGTCCTGGACTGGCAGCGTCGGAGCGGGAGTGCTCGGCTGGCTGTTCCCTAGGCTGGGGGTACTGGTGTGGGCACTCGGTTCACTGCTCGGACCTGCCACCGGACTGTAGTTCCTCTGACTGTGGGGCGGCCGAGGCTCAGGGCTCGTGGGGGAGGAGCTCTGAGGAATACTCGCGGACACGGCGGCAACGACTGCCTGGGCAGAGGGCTGCTGCATCATGAAAGGCTTCTCATCGGGGCAGGGGACCACATCGGGGGAGGCGGGGTTTTGGTTTTCTGGCGGTAAACTGGACAGCTGTCCCGCCAGAGTTGAGAGCTGATTTAAAGGGTTGTCAACCATGAGTTCTTGGGGGTCCCTTGGCAGGCCACCCGTTGGCGCGGTTTTTGCCATACTTTCATATGAGTCGGTCTGGATATTTGGGATTTCATGGGCAAAGTCGTTAAGGTAGTCTGGCTTCTGAACCACCATGGAAGGTGGACTTAAGTTGATCAGTGCTCTTCTGCTATAGCCCAGATTACTTGTTTTCTTCTGTAAAACTCCCCACATTTTCTTGCTGCTTAAGGAAGACCTAGTACCTTTAATTGGTACCATTTTATGCTTGCGCCTTCGATGGTGGGACAGGTTACTTCGATCACTGCAGCGGAAGGAACATAATTCACATTTGTATGGTTTTTCTCCTGTGTGGGAACGCATGTGGGCTTCCAGATGGCGCTCATAAGCAGATGCGAATGGACATAAGTGACACCTATGAGGTTTCTCACCTGTTTAAAAAGAAAAATGGGGGAGAAACTGCAAAAGTAGCTCATTTATGGACAGTTTCATGTTTTGTCCGTTCATTAGATTTAGAAATCAGTCAGATTTCTTTGCAAAGAAACTTGTAAGCTTAAATAAAGCTTAAGAACTCATCAGCAACAATTTGAGATATACAGACTCATTCTATTAGTCAGTGTCACGGAAAAGTTATGGCTTCAGCTGGCATTTTGGAAAGAAGAAATAGCAAAACGGACGATAGTATTCCCTATGTAACACTAACTTTACCAAAGTTATGCCTCAGTTATGTTTATGTACACACCTGTACATGAACACTTCTTCATATTCATACACACACACAAATACCCCTTCCTCCAGAAAAAATACAAAAAGCCTTTCTAAAAAATCCTTCTACTCAACAGAAAGCTCAAAATGGAAATGAGTTTCCTTGTCCAAGTGGAGTTATGCAAAGTGTCCCTCCAAAATGGCCAGTGATTTACCTCTACCTTCCTCCTCTTCCTCTCCAGCTGCCAGAAGGGATAATTTGAGTTAGTGCCCTGAGCTGAAAATGTTATAAAATATGTATCTGGAACATGAGATTTGAAGCCATTAATTTAACAAATAAGTACTAAGTACTTACGATGTGTCAGATGTTCTTTTAGGCTCTGCGGGCACCAAGTGGCCCCGACACAAACCCTGTCCTCAGAAGGTGTCCTCAGAAGGCCACCACCCCACAGCATGAGAAACCAGGGGCACACAGCTGGGACACCTGACCAGGGCAGGCACAGTTAGGGTTTCTCAGAAGGTGAGGTAGCTACAGCGGGCCCTGGAGATTAGCAGTGTAGTCTGTGACTGTATAAATGCCTTGTCCCTGGGTCTGCAACTGAAACATACTTACTAAGGATAAAGATAAATAACATTTTATCACTTGACACTACTGTCAGCATTAACCTGCCCAGCCTGAGAAGCAGATACATGTTGAGAAATTATCTGGAACAAGAAGAAAGATGGCTAACGAAGGGGAAGCTCTTAGAAGGGGCCTGACTTCCTCTCATTATGCTATTGTTTTGGAAGAATGGAGTAACTTCTCCATTTATCCATACTGTATTATCAACTGTCAACTTTAAACGATTAGAACTATTTATAGAACGGATCAACCCGCCTTCCTTGGCCCCTCTCCTACCCCCAGACAAATGCCTTCCCCAGCCATTTCTCCGTTACCTGTGTGGATTCTAATGTGTTCAATAAGCCGGGCCGTTCCTTTGCTGGCATAATTGCAGTAGCGACACTTGAGCTTCCCATCGAAGGTCCTTTCAAACCCGTCTACTAACATTCCTGAGTTTTCATCCAGAGAAACTTCCACAGATGGGTGATCGAGTCCATTTTGATCACCATCTGTTCCAGCTATAAACAAAGTGCAGCAAAAGAAATTATGCATCTCAGAATCAACTCAATTTAGCAATTTGATTTTGAGTGGTAAAAAAATCATAAATTGATAGTTTATTTAGCACAAAAGCTAAGCTCATAAGATGCTGACTTTCTGTATTGAGGTTAATTTCACACAAAAGCAGTATCCTGTTTTTGAGAACCTTTTACAGAGAGATCTCAAATTCTTACACATGCATTTCCTCAGTCCTCCACATGCTTCTGAAGAAGAGAGCTGGGGCTGGGGATTATCCTGATGGGATAGGTGAGGAGACAGAGGGGAGTAAGGAGTAATGGCAAAGTTACACACATTTAAGATTCTAGCCACTTCTACAAATATTATAATTGGCAGTCACGATAACCTCCCCAAATCCTAACTCTTTTAACTGTAGTCTCAAGCAAATAATGTTGACTTTTGCACTGTTCCATTTGGTTTACACACATGTTCTGGATGCTGGGATGCATTTAGGATCTTAAAATTCTAATTAAGCACAGGAAGGAAGATACCATATCTGATACCTCTGAATGTTACAACTGCAAGAATTTGAAAGCTTTTTAAAAGGTATCTGTCCGGCCCTTTGCTTTTAACTTGATCTGACTACTTCTCTGTATCTATAAAGAAACTGAAGGGGCAAGTACTCCTAACCAGGAAGACCAGGAAGCAGTGGGGACGACAAGCTTGCTGTCTTGACTCCCAGTCCAGGAGCCTACACACTGGAGTGTCGGAAGGGACATTTTCATTCCTACAACTTCATGGGAAAAGCACTTGTACTCCATGCCCAGGAGACAGCAGCACTGGTATGAACAAGTCAAGCCTCCTCCCCCACTGTGTCCTCCCTGCTTCACCAGGAGAAAAGTGATTTCGTTTGATGAAAATGCAATATCCAACACAGTGCCCCTGCACTGGAGGGACAAGGCTATGTCTCCTTCTCCGATTTCTCTCTCAAGCCAGTGACTCTAAAAATTTAATGTGTATGTATATTAATCACATGGGGAGCTTGTTAAAATACAGAGTGAGTCAGTAGACCCGCAGCGAGGACTGGCATTTTACACGTCTGCCAAGCTCCCTGGTGATGCCTGGTTACTGCTGCTGGTCCCTGGACTATAGAGCCACATACCATCTTCATAGGGGTCAACAAATTTCCCATGAGGATCAGACAGTAAATACTTTGAGGCTTTATAGGCCACATGTTCTCCACAAGTACTCAACTCTGCTGTTACAGTATAAAAACAGGTAAAGAAAATGTGTTAACAAGCAAATGTGGCTATGTTTCAATAAAACTTTATTTATGGATGCTGACTTCTGAATTTCATACACTTTGCATGGTATGTTATAGTATTGTTTTGGTTCCCCCACCCCACCCCAACCATTTTAAAATCTAGAAATCACTTTCTTAGTTTGCAGGTCATACAAAACCCATTAGCAGTCCAGGCGGGGGCCATGGGCTGCAGTTTGTTGACCCTGGAACTACATTCAGGAATAAATTCCAGTGTGTGTGGTAAGCAAACAAGACAAAGTCTATCTGTAGCAGGCTCAGGTGGGTCGCTGCTTTCTCTATCCTAGTTTGTGGTCTAGATGGTTAAACACAGCCCTTTCTTCATTTCAAGGAAACTCCTATCATGTCTCTGGTGTAATCCAGACTTCCTAATGGCCAAATCCTTTGTGTAGTGAAGTGGATGTTCGACCCCCTTGGTTTCCTTGTTGTCTAGTGTTAGCTAACAGAACTTAGAAGATGGGAAGGATGTTTAGAACTCCTAACCTTTCAATGAGACCATAATGCCTCTCTAGACTCTGTTAGGCCCTTGGGGAAGCTTCATTCTCCCTCAACAATAATCTGACATGTTTAAAAAGGGAAACAAATTGTCCTGTATCTAAGTAAAAATGGAATGATTCACATTAATCAATAGTAGTCTTCATCATATGAATAGCTATACACAAACATTAATATATTTAGGAAAAGTAAATTATTTAATAGTATTAAGATGAGTCTACCTCCCTGAAGAGCCTCTGCTTCTTTATCCCCACTAACTGATCCAGAAATCATATTCACATGATGAGTCTGTTGAGTCAGATACTCCTGGAAATCTTTCACGAAGTCCAAAGGCTCTGGTTTCTTTTCACCCATCTTTACTTTTTTCTTTTTCTTTCTTTCCTTCTTTCTTTCTTTCTTTTTAAATTTTTATTTTTTTTGAAGTTTACAGTTTGTTATGCCTAGGGGGAAAAAAAGTGAAATGTTTTCACACTATTTAGTGAGATTCCGTATGTATTAAAACAACAGTGACAAAGATTACTATGTGCAAGGCACTATACAAAGCTACAGAGAACACAGTATCTGCCTTTCAACAGCTTATCATTTTCTTGGTGAATTAGATAAGACATACAGAAAATGGTGAAAACTGAATATAGTTAATATTTAAATAAACTAGGATTCAAACTTAAAGTATGGAAAGAAATTACAAAAACAGAAAGTCCAGATGAAAGAAATAGGCACATCAGCAGGGATTATCTCGATGGATACAGTAAAAAAAAAAAAAAAAACCAAACAACAACAACAAAAAACCCAAGTGGTTCATTCAGGGCCAGGGAGAATTTTCTGGATGATGGACGTGTTACATATCTGCATTGTCCAATACAGTTGCTACCAGCCATACACAGTGACAAGTACTTGAAGTGTGGTGAATACAAATGACCTGAGTTTCTAAATTTTATTTAATTAATTTAAACTGAAATAGCTACATATGGCTAGTGACTATCATTTTAGACAGCAAAGGCTCTCAAATCATAGGGTTCACATGGATGAATACTCTAGAAATAGGTGATCTATCTTCAACAAGGGGTGGCAAACTTTTTCCATAAAAAGGCCAGACAGTATTTTAGGCTTTGCAAGTCATAAAGTTTCTGTGCAACTACTCAACTGTCATTATAGCTAAAAGCGGCCATAAAAAAATACGTACATAAATTGAATATGGCTGTGTTCCAAAATAAAGTTTTATAGAGGCAGGCCTTAAGCCAGGTTTGGCCTATAGGTCATAATTTCCTGACCCCTGACCTAGAAATCCAACTTACCATCTCCACCACCACCCATCATGCTATGAGAATGGGGGGAAAATTAAGAAAGAAAACAAAAAATCAGATGCTAATGTAGAGGAAAAGTCTCCTTTAAGATTTTGTAATTATAAACTAAACTGGTCCTCACATAGGTATAATTATGGCCCAAATTCGGAATCAGATAATGAAACAGTTTTCTGGTAAAAAGGAAGTCTAGCGCCTAGAAGACAAAGGATTTTTCTTCCAGTAAAAATGTTTTTATGCAAATGTCTAAGGTCTTGTTAAATGTCTTCTGCTAAATTTTCCCCCTATATTCCAACTATTTAATGAGTAATTTCTATCTTTAAAAAGTCCTCGTCTTTAAAAGCCAGTAGAGGGGCGCCTGGGTGACTCAGTTGGTTGAGCGTCTGACTTTGGCTCAGGTCATGATCTCATGGCTCGAGCCCCACGTCAGGCTCTGTGCTGACAGCTCAAAGTCTAGAGCCTGCTTCTGATTCCGTGTCTCCCTCTCTCTTTGCCCCTCCCCTGCTCATGCTCTGTCTTTCACAAAAGTAAAATAAACATTAAAAATGAAATGAAATGAAATAAAAATAAAATAAATAAATAAAAGCCCATACAATGAATCTAAAGATTAGTCACTTCTCAGTATGTATAACACTTTCTCAAAGTCCGGCATATACACAGAAGAGCACATAAATCCTAAGGGTGGAGCTCAATGGATTGTCACAAACTGAATGCATCCATGAAGTCAGTACCCACGTCAAGAAACAGAAGGCTGCCACATCCTGGCAGCACCCCAGGACACCTTCCTGTGCTGGTCCCCTGGAGCCCCGGCAAGGACCCCACTACCTCTGAAATTGCTATGGCATAGGGTTTGCACATACCAGCTTCAGATACTGCAAAATGGCTTTTCAAAGTGCTTAGGTCAGTTGACACTCCCACCAGCAGTGAACAACAGCTCTCTTGCTCTACGTCCCTACCAACACACAGGTATTTTCTGCTTTTATCACTGTAGCCATTCCTGTGGGTATAGGGTGGTATCACACTGGTTTTCATTTCTATTCCTTGATATTTAATGAAGTTTGGACTTTTTATGTTAATTAGCCATAATGACACCGTCTATTTTCATACCCAGTGAGATCTGTCAACTCTTTTGCTCATTTTTCTAATAGGTTAAGAGTTCTTTGTAGTTTCTGGATATGAGCTCCTTACTGGATATGTGTCTTCTCTCTGTGTTTGCCTTTTCGCTTTCTTAAAGATAATCTGATGAACACAAGTTCTTAAGACAGTCCAATTTACCCACTTCTTTCTCTACATTTAGTTTTGTCCTTACCAGTATTTTTCTTGAGAATGTTCTGCAGTTTCTTCTAAAATCTTTACTAGTTTCTTTTTTTAACATTTCATATTTTTATCTGGAATTAAGCTTTGTGTACGTATAGTGTGAGGGAAGAGTCAAAATATAATTTTTTCCTCAAAGAGATGTCCTAGCAACACTCATTTCATAGACCAGCCTTTCTCCACTAGATTCTATTATCACCTTTCTAAATCAGGTGATTGCATATATGTGGCTCTATTCCTGGATTCTCTATTCTGTTCCACGGGTCTATTTTTGTCTGTCCTAACACTAACACCACACAGTCTTTTTCTTTCTTTTTTTTTTAACTATTTAATTTTTATTTTCTTTTGAAAGTTAGTGATGCGCAGGCAGAATCTACACATACATATTTGCATTTGGCTGATAAAAAGAAAAGTTTTAAAAAAGTGCACAAGAAATAAAGGGTGCCAAGCACAGATGGCAATCACATTAAGAACTAAACAAACAAACCTACTCCAGTGGAATTCAACCTGCAGTGGTGGAAAAGACTGTCAAATCCATAGACCCTTAAGAGCTGGAAAAGTTAAGAACTAGAAATCAAGTCCTTCCCCTCCTCCTTCACAAGATAATCCCCTCTATGATTTTATGACCAGCCAGATCCTTTTCATTACATCTCTGGTCAGAAATTCTCTTCTCTCCTCTATAGCTGATAGTGTCCCTGATCTTACAGTCATCTCTTAAATGGTATGACAATTTTTTTAGATTCCTTCTGAATTTTTTCTAGGAGGTGTCACAAATTATGATATCCGCTCCTGGCATGAGATCTCAGAGAATCTTCTAGGGATGGATGGAGCGGGCGGCATGTAAACAACCTCCTTTACCTGCTATTTAGATGACTTTCAAATTGCTGAATATTTTAAAGTTATTTCAACCAAATGGAGATTAACACAATACATGTATGTCTCATACAGTTTTTTTTTTTTAACTAAAGGGGATTTTTTAGTAGATATTCTGATAGTTTTACTATATTAGGTATTTACACGTATATATATATTTTTAAAAGTGATTCATCACTTACATATAATACCCAGCCCTCTTCCCAACACGTGTCCTCCTTAATGCCCCTGGCCCATTTAGCCCATCCCCCCTCACCCTCCAGCAACCGTTTGTTCTCTGTATTTAAAAGTATCTTATGGTTTGTCTCCTCTGTTTTTATATTATTTTTGCGTCCTTTCCCTTATGTTCATCTGTTTTGTATCTTAAATTTCACATACGAGTGAAATCATATATTTGTCGGACTTATTTCACTTAGCATAATATACTCTAGTTGTATACATGTTATTGCAAATTAGAAGATTTCATCTTTTTTGGTCACTAAGATTTCTATCTATCTATCTAGATTATCTATCTATATGTGTAAATATATACACATCTTTTTTATCCATTCATCAGTCGACAGACATTTGGGCTCCTTTCATGCTTTGGCTATTGTCAATTGTGCTGTTATAAACATTGGGGTGCATGTGCCCCTTGAACAGCACATCTGTATCCCTTGGATAAATACCTAGTAGTGCAAGTGCTGGGTTGTAGGGTAGATCTGTTTTGTAATTTTTTGAGGAACCTCCATACTGTTTTCCAGAGTGGGTGCACCACTTTGCATTCCCCCCAGCAGTGCAAAAGGGTTCCTCTTTTTACACATCCTCGCCAATGTGTTGTTTCCTGAGTTGTTAATTTTAGCCATTCTGACAGGTGTGAGGTGGTATCTTGTGGTTTTGATCTGTATTTCCCTGATGACGACTGACATTGAGCATCTTTTCATGTGTCTGTTAGCCATCCGGATGTCTTCTTTGGAAAAGTGTCTATTTATGTCTTTTGCCTATTTCTTCATTGGATTATTTGCTTCGGGGGTGTTGAGTTTGATAAGTTCTTTATAGATTTTGAATATTAACCCTTTATTTGATATGTCATTTGCAAATATCTTCTCCCATTCCATGGGTTAGTTTTGCTGTTTCCTCCACCGTGCAGAAGTTTTGTTTTTGTTTTTTTTTATCTTGATGAGGTCCCAATAGTTCACATTTGCTTTTGTTTCCCTTGCCTCTGAAGACATGTTGAGGAAGTTGCTACAGCCGAAGTCGAAAGGTTGTTGCTTGCTCTCTCCTCTAGGATTTTGATGGCTTCCTGTCTTACATTTAGGCCTTTCATCCATTTTGAATTTATTTTTGTGTATGGTATGAGAAAGTGGTCCAGGTTCATTCTTCTGCATGTTGCTGTCCAGTTTTCTCAACACCATTTGCTGAAGAGACTATCTTTTTCCATTGTATACTCTTTCCTGCTTTGCCAAAGATTAGTTGGCCATATATTTGTGAGTCCATTTCTGGGTTCTCCATTCTGTTCCACTGATCTATGTGTCTGTTTTGGGCCAGTACCATACTGTCTCGATAATTACAGCTTCATAATACAGCTTAAAAGTCCAGAACTGTGATGCCTCCAGCTTTGGTTTTCTTTTTCAGGACTATTTTGGCTATTCGGGGTCTTTTCTGGTTCCGTACAAATTTTAGGATTGTTTGTTCTAGCTCTGTAAAGAATACTGATGTTATTTCGACAGGGACTGCACAGAATATGTAGGTGCTTTGTGTGCTATCGACATCTTAACAATACTTGTTCTTCCAATACATAAGCATGGAATGTTTTTCCATTTCTTTGTGTCTTCTTTAATTTCTTTTATAAGCTTTCTATAGTTGTCAGTGTAAACATTTTTCACCTCTTTGGTTAGGTTTATTCCTAGGTATTTTATCGTTTTTGGTGCAACTGGAAATGATATTCCTTGATTTCTCTTTCTGCTGCTTCA